TGCTCAGACTGTGTGGTGTCCTTGAGATCCACATTGAGATATGTGTTTCTTTCCACAGGACCACCGTCACCTAGACTATGGGGGTGTGTCAACCTATATTTGTTCTAGCTTATATTTGTTAGTCTAGGTGGTGTACATTTATTCTTAGGGTTTGCTAGGGTTGGCTAGGGTTTCATATATCTTCCTTGTCAATGTCATTTCTAAGTCATTCATTACGCAGTCATTCATTTCGCAGTCCTACGGTGGGGTCAGCCAAGGCGACACAAACTGGAGTGCGTAGCGGCGTAACGTCAATGCAGTCGCGAAAGAAGCACTGAGACGCTTCAGAGTCAAGCGTGAAGGACAGCTGCGTAGAAGCTGAGGTCGTACATGGGCCAGCGACAACGGCGGGGACTAGGCTAGCAGCAGATGTAGCTCCTACACAGGGACCCGCGTAAGCACCAAGGCTTGACAAGTCGGAGTAGTGAGCCCCAGAAGCGCGTGGGGCAGCAGGAGGCCGGACAGGGTCAGAGTACCAAGAAGTACGCAGTGCAGACATATCCAGTGTAAACACCTTGTAGCCCCTACTGACCAGTGAAGCCTAGTGCGGGGCGGGTGTGGCGATGCCGAAACGCTGGTAGTAGAGGTCACTGAGGCGGTCGAAACACTGGTCACGGGCGTGCACGCGTCCGCAGGCGCAAACCGAACCGGGGTACGTACTGACAGGGTCCGACAGGGCCCCACTGCTGAGGCTGCTGCTGGCGCTGCTGCTGAACTCGCAGCTGCTGCTGCTGCTGTTGCGGTCACTGCTGCTGCGGCCACTGCTGCTGAACCCGATGTTGCCACATTGGCATTGCTGGCTATAAGTAGTACGTGCGGCAGTGTGGGTGGAAGGAAGCGGTCTGGTGTTGTTAGGAGGGGTCGGGTGCGGTAGGGTGCGGTCGGGTGCGGTTGAATACGGTTGGGAGCGGCCGGGTGTGGTCGGGAGCGGTGAGGAGCGGCCGGGTACGTTCTAGTGCGGCGGGGTGCAGCTACGGGCGGTCTAGTGCGGTTGGGAGCAGGGAGGAGCGGGCGGGTACGGTCAAGTGCGGTGGGTGCAGCTAGGGGCAGTGTAGTGCGATGGAATGCTGCTAGAAGTGATCGGGTGCAGTCGGGTGCGATTGGGAGCGGTCTAGTGCGGTGGGAGTGGTCTCCTGGCGCTAGCTGCTGTCGCTGGCGCTAGCTGCTGCTGCTGACGCTAGCTGCTACTGCTAGAGCTACTTGCTTCTGCTGGCGCTAGCTGCTGCTGCTGGCTGAGTGCGGGCGATCCAAGGGGGGGACGACGGGGCGTACGGGGCGCGCGACAGGCTACGGGTCGACAGGGCGTACGGGGCGACAGGGCGTTCAGGCTACGGGGAGACGGGGCGTACGGGGCGACAGGGCTACGGGGCGACGGGGCGTACAGGGCGACGAGGCGCGCGACGGGCTACGAGGCGATGGGGCGCTCGGGTCGACGTGGCTACGGGGTGACGGGGCGTACGGGGCGACGAGGCGTACGGGGCGACGGGGGGCGCGACGGGCTATGGGGCGACGAGGCGCACGGGTCGACGAGGCTACGGGGGGACGGGGCGTATGGGGTGACGGGGCGCGCAATGGGACGAGTGAAGGGCCCTCGGGGGGGCGTACTACGGGACGAACAAAGCGCCCGCGGGGGCTTTGCTAACGGACGGACGGACGGACAGCGAACGATGAAACCCTAAAATGAGCGAGCAACGAACGGGGCGCGGGGTGGTGGGCCCATGGGAACGAACTAGGCTCTATACCATGTCAAAGAGAGAACTGAAGAATGAATGATTAACCCTAGGACTAACAGAAATGTACACCACCTAGCGTAAACAACACAAACAATAACAAATATAGTTTGACAAGTGGATAGCAGCCATGGACGTTGAGATGGCTTCTTGGAGGTCCACATGCACGTACGTCGACGCAGTTCCCCTTCCCAGTGCGAACATAGTCGATGTCATGTGGATCTTCAAGGGGAATCGGCCGCCTGGATCGCCGTCTGTCTTCAAGGCGCGTTACGTGGCGAGAGGCATTAGTCAGCGTAAGGGGGTGGACTTCTTTCATACCTTCTCCCCCACCCCGAAGATGACCACTCTTCGGGTGCTACTACACATCGCAGTACAGCAAGACGACGACCTGCACTCACTAGAATTCTCCACTACCTTCTTATAGGGCAGCCTGCGCGAGGAGATCTGGGTGCGCCGTCCTCCTGGCTTCACTGGCACTTTTCCGCCTGGGACCTAGTGGATCCTGAGACGACTAGTCTACTGTATCTGTCAGGCGCCTCGTGAGTGGCACGACACTCTTCGCTCCACTCTTGATGACATCGGGTTCATTCCTTCGACCGTCGACCCATTGTTGTTCGTTCGTTCTGGCCCCACCCCTTTCTTCGTCCTTGTCTATGTCGACGACATTTTTTTTGCCACAGCAGACAGGGTTGCCCTATCTTCAGTGAAGTCCGAGCTGCAGAAGAGGCACTCGTGCACTGACCTTGGTGAACTGCGCAGCTATCTTGGCTTGTAGTTTACCTGGGACAAAGCCGCTCGCACCATCACTCTGACTCAGTCACACATGGTGCAGCAGGTCTTTCAGCGGATCGAGCTTCAATTCTCCACCACACAACCCACTCCTCTTGCTGTTGATCACAGGCTCACTGCTCTTGCTGTTGAGCCTAGTGGTCCTTACGCAGAGCTTGTGTGTTGCCTCATGTACCTGATCACATGTACTCGTCCGGACCTCACTTACCCTCTCAGTGTCCTGGCTCGCTTTGTTGCGACTGAGAGACACCGTCCTGTGCACTGGATGGCTGCTACAAGGGTATCGAAGTACCACGCGACTACATCAGGCATGGGGCTTGTGCTTGGAGGGACACAACCTGTGCGACTTACTGGATACTGTGACTCGTCCTACACCGAGGACTTGGAGACCAGCAGGTCGACCTAGGGGTACTGCTTCAGCCTGACCTCTGGAGTCGTGTCGTGGAGGTCTACCCGGTCGTCGTCTGTGGCTTCGTCCAGTGCTGAGGCCGAGATCTACGCCGGTGTCATGGCTGCCCAGGAGCTCCGTTGGCTGACCTTCTTGCTCACTAACCTAGGTAAGCGGCCTAGCTCTGCACCGACCTTGTTCGCCGACAACAAGGCCATGATTCTCCTATGTGGAGAGCCTCGACTAGCCACATCCATCTGTGGTATTTCCTGGTGCGAGAGTTGGAGCAACGCGGCCAGGCACGCATGGTTTTTGTGGCCTCAGCGGCCAACACTGCAGACATCTTCACCAAGGCTCTCCCGACTGGTGATCACCACAGTTTTGTTCACAGCTTGACCTTCTTCAGACAGGCCCTCGTTTGTTGTAGGCTTGTCTCTTGTTTCTTGCTCTGCTTGTTTTGCTATTTATATAAATATGTGAATTCTTGAACTGGCCTTGTGGCCCGTTTGTCTTAGAGGCTGGCTAGTCGTACCTGTTGGAAACAAGTGATTTAAGCGCCTCTGTCGCGTCGAAACACTAAGTCATAAACGAAGCGAAACACAGCGAAGCATCAGCGAGTCAACCCTCGGAGGTTGAGCAACTGCTGGAGGTTACGCGAAAGTCAAAGGTCAGCGACCTTTGACCTGACAAGTACAGCACGACAGCAAGGACAAACAGCTGACTCGTTATTGAGCAATTGCCCGAGTCGTCACTGTATCGAACCGCAACAGCAATAGTAAAACGGTTATTAACTGTATCTCTTCGTATTCCTTGTACTCTTATAAAAGCTTGTATCCCTTTGTTTTAATTAATCTACTTTGCCCTGACATACCAGCGCAAGGTGGTTCACAGGCTTATCATTAAACGCTTCCGCTATTACATTGTTCCTACTCAGAGTTTAGCCCTGCAAAGATCCAAAGGGCTTTTCTCAGCCCAACATGGTATGAGAGCAATCAGGGCAAACTCAACTACTATCAAGACACCCACAACATCAGAAGGCATGGCAACACAGAAGGAGAGAAGCTCTTCTAACGGCTCTCCCGGTACTACTCCTACTCCAACTCCTGCCTCTGGCCTACAGACAGAGGAGGGCACAGCAACAAGACCAGCAGCTGGATCCACCGAAACTCCCGCAAATCAAGCCGCGGGCTTCGACCCAAGCATGATGGAGAAGTTTTTCTCCTTCATGTCCTTCTACGAACAGCACCAGCAAGGGGCACCTACGCAGTCAAACAACAGCAACAACAACAACAACGATGTGACGCCGATGAGCCTCGACGGTTCATCCTACGCGCGAGGAAATCAGCAACAACCTACCTTCGCTCCGTACGAACCCCAGCGCGGCTCCGTCAGTTTCATACCGCGCCAGCAGCCTTCACCTGAGCAAGGGAAGACATTGGATGCACTTCAAGTTCAGTCGCAATTTGCACACGTCTTAAAGCCCGAGTACAGCATGGTAATTTTCAAGTTCAAGATTCTTGAACTTGAAGTCGCCAAAAACAGGGTTACCCTGCTTGTTTTGAAAAAACTCTCGCGACCCCAGGCAATCGTCCTGCGACAACGGAACCCGAGTGCCCAAAACCAGAACTGACCCGATGATCGCCAACCATATGCTCTGTTCACCACTCACATAACTTGCTTACCAAGTAGTACTCATAGGCTAGGAGGCTCCAAGGCAAAAACTAGCGCTAGTTGGCAAAAGCGAGTCGTTGATAGGCTTTTTTTTTGTGCGGAAAGAAATATAAGTCCACCTCAACCATCTTAGTCAGTGCACGCTCCGATCTCTCCCTCGCGTCACCAGTCTCGTGTTACAACCCGGGCACCCACGGCACTTACGTTAGTAAACGAGATTCGCGTTACTCGAGTCTTGCATTCAAGCTCGCGTCGCACACGCAGGCTCTTGTCACACTTGCTGCGGTTCAGCCTCGTGTCACGATCGTACCGTTTTAGGCACGGGTCGCTCACGCGAATGCCGTAGTGGTTCGCGTGACGCACTCAGCCGTTAGTCGCACATGTTCCTCCTCGTCGGCCGCTCTTTCCCACGTCAGACCGCTTTCCTCGTCGCCCGCGCTTTCCCTCATCACCCTCCCCGACCCTCTGGTCGCATATGTTCCCCTAGTCGCCCGCGCTTTCCCACGTCAACCACACATCCCCTCGTCGCAATTGCTGATAGTAAACATACCGCGCTTCAGATCGTCACCCGCGCTCCCCTCATCACCCTCGTCGACCCGCACCGATCCTCGCCGCCCTCACCTCCCTTAGTCACCCACATTCCCTCTCGTCGCTCGCGCTTCCCCTCATCACCCTTGCCGACCCTCGCCGCCCTCGCCTCCCCTCGTCGCCCGCGCGTCCCGTCGTCGGGCTTGCCTCCCAGTCACTCGCGCTTCCCCTCGTCATCCGCGTTTCCATCCGCTCTTCCCCTCTCCCCATCTCACCATCTCCAGCCCGCCCTTCCTCCCTCATTCCTTCCAAAGGGGTGGGACAGATGGGGAGGAACAGATGGGGAGGAACAGATGGGGATGAACAGATGGGGAGGAACAGATGGGGAGGAACAGAGGTGGTCGCTTCCGCCACCACAATCGAACAGCGTTTTGATCCCCTCTCTGCTCCCCACCATCCTCCCCCCAACTCTCTCCCCGGCATCTGCCCCCGTTCCCCCCATCCTCTTCCCTGTTTCCCCGTATCCCCTGCCGTGCTTCCCCCGATCCTATCCCCTCTTACCCCGTATCCCCTGCCCTGCTTCCCCCCATCCCTTCCCTGCTTCCCCCCACCCCTCTCCCTGTTTCCCCCCATCCCCTTCCCTGTTTCCCCCCATCCCCTTCCCTGCTTCCCCCCATCACCTTCCCTGCTTCCCCCCATCCCCTCCCCTGCTTCCCCCCATCCCCCTCCCTGTTTCCCCCCATCCCCTTCCCTTCTTCCCCCCATCCCCTCCCCTGCTTCCTCCCATCCCCTTCCCTGCTTCCCCCCATCCCCTCCCCCCCCATCCCCCTCCCTGCTTCCCCCCATCCCCTTCCCTGCTTCCCCTCATCCCCTTCCCTGCTTCCCCCCATCCCCTCCCCCCCCATCCCCCTCCCTGCTTCCCCCCATCCCCTTCCCTGCTACTTCCCATCCCTCCCCCTGCTTCCCCCCATCCCCTTCCCTGCTTCCCCCCATCCCCTTCCCTGCTTCCCCCCATCCCCTCCCCTGCTTCCCCCCATCCCCTTCCCTGCTTCCCCCCATCCCCTCCCCCCCCATCCCCCTCCCTGCTTCCCCCCATCCCCTTCCCTGTTACTTCCCATCCCTCCCCCTGCTTCCCCCCATCCCCTTCCCTGCTTCCCCCCATCACCTTCCCTGCTTCCCCCCATCCCCTCCCCTGCTTCCCCCCATCCCCTCCCTGTTTCCCCCCATCCCCTTCCCTGCTTCCCCCCATCCCCTTCCCTGCTTCCCCCCATCCCCTCCCCTGCTTCCCCCCATCCCCTTCCCTGCTTCCCCCCATCCCCCTCCCTGCTTTCCCCCATCCCCTTCCCTGCTTCCCCCCATCCCCTCCCCTGCTTCCCCCCATCCCCTTCCCTGCTTCACCCCATCCCCTCCCCTGCTTCACCCCATCCCCTCCCCTGCTTCCCCCCATCCCCCTCCCTGTTTCCCCCATCCCCTTCCCTTCTTCCCCCCATCCCCTCCCCTGCTTCCTCCCATCCCCTTCCCTGCTTCCCCCCATCCCCGTCCCTGCTTCCCCCCATCCCCTCCCCTGCTTCCCCCCATCCCCTTCCCTGCTTCCCCTCATCCCCTTCCCTGCTTCCCCCCATCCCCTCCCCCCCCATTCCCCTCCCTGCTTCCCCCCATCCCCTTCCCTGCTACTTCCCATCCCTCCCCCTGCTTCCCCCCATCCCCTTCCCTGCTTCCCCCCATCCCCTTCCCTGCTTCACCCCATCCCCTCCCCTGCTTCCCCCCATCCCCTTCCCTGCTCCCCCCCATCACCTTCCCTGCTTCCCCCCATCCCCTCCCCTGCTTCCCCCCATCCCCCTCCCTGTTTCCCCCCATCCCCTTCCCTTCTTCCCCCCATCCCCTCCCCTGCTTCCTCCCATCCCCTTCCCTGCTTCCCCCCATCCCCTTCCCTGCTTCCCCCCATCCCCCTCCCTGTTTCCCCTCATCCCCTTCCCTGCTTCCCCCCATCCCCTTCCCTGCTTTCCCCCATCCCCTGCCCTGCTTCCCCCCATCCCCTTCCCTCCTTCCTCCCATCCCCTTCCCTGCTTCCCCCCATCCCCTTCACTGCTTCCCCCCTTCTCCTTCCCTGCTTCCCCCCATCTCCTTCCCTGCTTCCCCCCATCCCCTTCCCTCCTTCCTCCCATCCCCTTCCCTGCTTCCCCCCATCCCCTTCCCTGCTTCCCCCCATCTCCTTCCCTGCTTCCCCCCACCCCCTCCCCTGCTTCCTCCCATCACTCTCATTCTCCTTCCTCCTGCACTCACTCTCTCAGTCCTCTCGCACTCTCTCTCTCTCCGTCCTCTCGCACTCGCACTCTCCTTCCCGCCACCCTCAGCCCTCCTTCCCCTCACCCTCTCCCCTGTTCCCACCTGCCCTCCCCATCCCCGCCTTTCCCTCCCTGCCCTGCCCTTCCCTTCTCCATCCCTTCTCAACCCTTCCCTTTCATGTCATGCCCTCCCCTTCCCCCTCACCTTCCGCCCTCTAGTTCCCATGCATGTGCACCCATCACTGTCTCCCCATACCAGTACATGCTTTCATCATGTGCTCTTGCTTGTGTTCCCCTGCAGTTGTTCCCTTGGCACCTCACACCACCCCCCCCATGTTCCGTCACACAATTCTTTCTGCCTACTCCACTCCCCAAATTTTCAGTGGTGAAGCAGAGGAGCAAGCTGAGGCGCAGCTAGAGCTAGTCCATGCTTTACACCGTACCACCACCTGTTTCTTGCCTGTTGTATGCAAGCATGATACTGTATTACTGTTGGAGATATCCATCTCAAAAGCACAATATGTAATTTTGTTTCTGCAGTGCAATATATTCTTCCAAGATGCGTGGGCACTAAGAGTGTCAGAAGGGTAGATAGAGGCATGATCCTGATACTTTTGATTGTACCCTTCTCAAGGCCTTGAAAAAAACATGAGGGGAACTGGTTTCACTACGAGCGTGGCATGGGATGATGGGCTTCGGCGAGTTGCTGTGCCAGAAAATCTTCATTGGTGTCACTGCACTACCCAGGGAGAGGGAGGGAATACGAGGGATGGGGAGGGGGAACAAGACTAAAGTCAAACAGGGGAGATAGGGAAGAGGGGGAAGAGGGAAGCAGGGCTGAGAGGGAAAGAAGGAAGTACCGTAAGAAGAGGGAGGATAGGGAAGAGGGGAGATAGGAAGAGGGGGAGAGGGAAAGTGAGAGATAGGAAGATGAAACGAGGTGAAGACGAGGGGGAAACGAGGGGAAGCAGGGGGGGAAACGAGGGGTAACAGAGGGGGAAATCCTGGGAAGCGGAGGAGGATTCGAGGAGAAGCAGCGGGGGGAAATGAGGGGAAGCAGGGGGGAAATGAGGGGAAGCAGGGGGGAAATGAGGGGAAGCAGGTACATACAGGGAAAGCAGGGAGGGAAATGAGGGGAAGCAAAGGGTGAAATGAGGAGAAGCAGGGAGGGAAATGAGGGGCCAGCAGCGGGGAAAATGAGGGGAAGCGGGGAGGGAAATGAGGTGAAGCAGGGAGGGAAATGAGGTGAAGCAGGGAGGGAAATGAGGTGAAGCAGGGAGGGAAATGAGGTGAAGCAGGGAGGGAAATGAGGTGAAGCAGGGAGGGAAATGAGGTGAAGCAGGGAGGGAAATGAGGTGAAGCAGGGAGGGAAATGTGGTGAAGCACGGAGGGAAATGTGGTGAAGCAGGGAGGGAAATGTGGTGAAGCACGGAGGGAAATGTGGTGAAGCACGGATGAGGGGAAGAAAGGGTGGGCCATGGGCCTAGAGGGCCGTGAGAGAGGGGGGGGGGTGGACTTGAGGGACGGGAGTGGCAGGCTGGAGGGGAGCAGGAGAGGAGGAGGGGAGTGGCATGGGGAGCAGAGCAGAGCAGCATTGCGACCTGCCTGCAGCGTCATCCCCCACGGCGGAGATGAGGAAGGGCGCGGCGGAGAGTGCTGCCATGCACTCCGCTATGTTGTGCGCCACCCCCCCTGCGAGGAGGAACAGGGGAATGGCGCGGCTGGCAGAGAGAAAGGAAGGAGGAGGGGGGGAGGGGGAGAGGGGGAGGGGCGGGACACACATGAGAGGTTGAGACATGCCACAGTGGACGACACTCCCCCCTCGAATTCCTTTCTCCTGCCCTCCCTCCCTGCCTCATGCGGGAGGAAGAAAACGGGTGGGGGAAAGGGAGGAAGGGGACAACCATGAGGGGTAGGGGTTGGAAAGGGGCGGGGGCGGGTGGAGGTTTGGCGAGAAGGGGAATAGGAACCAGAGGATAGGGCGCAGAGCATTGGGCGCAGAGCAGAGGGCGCAGAGCATAGGGAGCAGAGCATAGGGCGCAGAGCATAGGGCGCAGAGCATAGGGCGCAGAGCATAGGGCGCAGAGCATAGGGCGCAGAGCATAGGGCGCAGAGCATATGGCGCAGAGCATAGGGCGCAGAGCATAGGGCGCAAAGCATAGGGCGCAGAGCATAGGGCGCAGAGCATAGGGCGCAGAGCGCAGGGCGCAGAGCGCAGGGCGCAGAGCGCAGGGCGCAGAGCGCAGGGCGCAGAGCGCAGGGCGCAGAGCGTAGGGCGCAGAGCGTAGGGCGCAGAGCGCAGAGCAGAGGGGGCAGAGCGCAGGGGGCGGAGGGGGCAGAGCGCAGGGGGCAGAACGAAGAGCGGAGGGGGCAGAACGCAGAGCGCAGGGGACAGAGCGCAGGGGGCAGAACGCCGGGGGCAGAACACAGAGCGCAGGGGGCAGAGCGCAGAGTGCAGGGGCGCGGAGCACGTGTACCTGTCCTGGCGTGGTGGTGCCTCGTTCCAGCGCCCTCTCCACGCTGCTTGTCGACCAGACCAGTGCGCGCGCTGGACGTTTGCGGGTCGACGCGCTGCTAGACGACCAGTGACGTTTTACGGGAGCAATGCCCCGAAACTGTCGACCTACGTGCTGCCAGTGGTAATCGACGTGCCTAATACAACACGAAGTACTCCCATATCGCGCGATGTCGAGTTCTTCTCAACGCTCCTTCCTGCGACCCAGCATGTACGTGTTCTGGCTCGTCACCTACGTCACCTCCTTCCTGCGGTTATTTCACACGTCAAGTTGTTAGCTTGATTGATCGTGGTGTTTTTTCTCCTCACTCGTTCTGAGGTTGTTGGTGCTTCCCGTTTTCGTTTTTGCTAGTAGTTGCATTGGGCGAGGATGTTCTCCACTTCTTGATCCTGATTGGTCAAAGAACAATCAGTGCGACACTCCTTCCAGTCGCCCCACACTGCCCTGCAAGTCTGTCAAAGCTTTGCGTTTGGCGAGACCCCATTCCTCCTCGTCAATCAATCGCTTTTTCGCTACACTGACTATGCCGAAATAATTGTTTTTCAGGTTTCGCCAACACTATTTCAAACCCACATAACTTGATAAAACACCATGTGGTACTCGGGCTTTAAAACTGCAGACATCAAGACCGTTCGACGGAAAAGACTTCTTTACCTGGTCATTCGAATTCGAGCTAATGATGGAAGGCGCGCAGATTCTTGGCTTCTTCGACGGGTCCCTGCCATATCCAACGCACGGGACGCAATACGACAAGCAGCAGTACACATATCAGTCCATGATGGCGTACACATTCCTACTGCGCAACGTCACACCGAACCAGCAGCAGAACATTCGGTCTTATCGGGGATACGGGAACTCTGCCGAGCTTGCGTACAACCACCTGAAGAACCTGTATCAGGCAACAGACAGCGTGAATCAGAGTCGGTTAATGGCACAACTGACAACAGTGGAAATGAAACCGGGCGAAAAGGGGATGGCGTATATCAGTCGTTGCCCCGAATTGCACGACAAACTCCTTCGATGTGGAGGGTCGATATCGGAAGACGCCTTCGTCACAGTCGTTATTGGCGGTCTTGGTCCTCATTGGCGCTCCACTCGCGCCATACTTCGAGCTCACGGGAAGATCTCCGAAGCAGCACTCTGCGCCGAAATTCACACTGAGCAGCAAGACATGGACCTGCAAGAGGAGCGGCACAAGAAGAAAACGTCAGTACCCGAATTTGCGTTTCACACCCAACGGCGCTACAACAACAACAACAACCGGCATCAACCAAAACCCGTACCTCCGTTCTGTCATATCTGCAAAACTTCAGGGCACCCTCGCACACACTGCCCGAATCGACAGCAATCAACACCACCACAACGTCAACTTCGCCCTTCAAGTAGTCAGGTAGCGTCCACTCAGGCGCACCCCACAAGCCAGTCGCAGTCTTCAACAGCATCGCCAACACAATCTGCACAAGGAGCAAGAAACATCGTCAGCTGCATGGCAAGATTGTCAGACTCCTGCATCACTGAATCACCACCGTACTACTCACCAGAAGAACAACTCGAAGAACGCACTCCTCGCCGTGAGACACTGGAGCCGAGCCCGACATACGCAGCCATCGCCCAAAGTGAGCCGTCCGGGAAGATACCTGGTTCTTGGACAGTTGCTGCGGGCAGCATATGTGCTCCTCGGGTCGCTTCGTTCAACGGGAACACCAACTTCAACGGGAAGTCGTGATCACCGTCGCCAACAACCAGAACCTGCGCACACGACGACAAGGCGTGGTTCAACTTCAGTCAAGGGAGACAAACGTTATACTACAGGTGTCAAAGGTCTTAATCGCGGAGGGACTCGGCTACAACTTACTGAGCGTCAGCCAACTGATGACGAAAGGCATCCATCTCGAAGAAGACAGCACCACAAGAAAGGCGGACTCTACATCGGCAAGGCCGTGCTAAAGAACAACGTGTTCGTCCTCGACTTCGTTCCAGACTTAGGCACCGCCGACAGCGACGAAATCGTCACCTTCACCTCCTGGACGCACCCACCAGATCTTGATCCTGACTTCAGTCCCGAAGGCTTCTGGTATTCACATACTATTCCTGAGGCAGAACGAACAAGAGCATTAGCAACAATTCAACACTCGGCAGCAGCAGAGACAACACCGGCAGCAGCAGAGACAACATTGGCAGCAGTAGAGACAACACCGGCAGCAGCAGAGACAACATCGCCACCAATCGCAGGACCTTCAACGGCACCGGTTCTCGTCGACAACACACCACCGACTTCTGCGCAACAGCTGAACCCAACTTCACGAGAAGTCCATCGAAGTACAAACCACACCGCTGGGTTCTACTCCAACTCCGACTTGTACCGCCGCTCACCCGGACATCGCGCTGACGAAGATCTCTGGCATAAACGAATGGGACATCCGAGCAACACGACGTTAAACAACACGATACGAGCAGGCGTTCTTGACAAAGACTCATTGCTCTTACCCGACGGGAGAGAACTTCGACGAATGAGAGGAACCTGCTTCACCTGCCCAGAAGCTGACTTACCGCATCAGCCCTTCGTTTCTCACCACAACCCGAGCGCACCAGCTTATGCACCACTTGAGAAAGTGTACAGTGACATCCTGTACAACGCGAACCTGGACAAGGAGCATACAACTACACCGTAACGTTCATCGACGCCGCCACTCGTTATGTCTGGCATCTCAACCTTCCAAGCCGCGACATGGCCTTCGAAGCATTCGTAGCCTGGCTCCCAGTAGCAGAACGGGAATCGGGAGTTAAGCTGAAGAGTTTTCAGTCTGACGGAGGAGGAGAATACACCTCACAGAGGTTCAAGCAGTACCTGGCAGAGAAAGGAATCAAGCGGCTCATCTCCCTTCCTTACGCCCATCAACAGCAGGGTGTAGCAGAAAGAATGAACAGGACCCTTCAGAACACCATGCGCAAGCTGCTACGTGGCATGCGGCTACCCAACCACCAGTGGCCCGAGGCAATGGACCACGCCGTGTTGCTTCACAACTTGCTTTCGTCATCATCGCTCCCGAACAACGCATCACCGCATCTGCTGTGGACAGGAAAACTGGGCAGCACAAAAATGTTGCGAAATTTCGGCTGCATGGTACAGTACCGACCCCCAGCTGCACGCGCTGGCCGATTCTACCAACGTGCACAGTGGGGACTACACCTGGGCATTGAAAAGAATTACAACTCGTGGAAGATTTTCGACGTCCACTCAAAAGAAACAGTGGCAGCACGTGATGTCATTTTCTACGAGCGACTCACCCTTTCAACGTACCTGTACAACTTGGAGACTTCACGAGATGTCACAGGCGGATTTCGTGGGGACCGAGCCTTCGCTTCGGCAGAAGATGAAGCTGACCTGGACGAGCAGACCATGAACGGAGCTTCGGAAGAAGCCGAACCACTTCCCTACTGCTCGGTGGATATTCCAATGGACGATGTCAACCCTCGCGAAAGCATCAACGCCGAAGTCTTCTACGACTTCGCCGACAACGGCTACGTTACACCCGCCCGAGTCAACACCAACGAAGCCGAACGCATAGGACCTAATTTCTTACCTGATCCAGAAGAAGGTGACGAAGCAGCTTATCCCGAGGATACAACACTTCCCCGCTACACACAGAGCGGACTCCAGATACTTGGCCTCGTCACCGCGGTCCACGGCACGGAGATTCCTGAGGAGCCTGCCACAGTTCAGCAGGCTCTGGGGGGGGAGCATAGGGAAAAATGGCGTGAAGCTATGGACAAGGAGCTGAAAGCACTGGAAGAACGGAAAACCTGGAAAGTCGTTCCCATCGGCGTGGCACGTAACAAAACGGTACTCACCGGAAAATGGGTCTTCCGTGTGAAGACAAAGGCAGACGGCACCATCGACAAGTTTAAGGCGCGCTGGGTCGTGCGCGGTTTCGACCAAGAGCACGGACGTGATTTCACCGAGACGTTCGCCCCGGTCAGCCGACACACTTCACTTCGGATTCTTCTCGCGATCGCCGCCATGAAGAAGAAGAAGCTGCGACAAATTGACGTCGCCAATGCATTTCTCTACGCACCTGTTGACGCCGAAATCTTCGTCGAACTTCCACACGGCTCCAACGGTGAGCCCAACCAAGTCTGTCAGCTGCTGAAGTCCCTGTACGGCATCAAACAGGCTCCAAGACTCTGGCAGCAGTATCTACACC